TCAAGATGTTGCCACAAAGTGAAAGAACGCAAAGAACAAATTGTATACTATGGCTTAGTTGTAGTATTACAGCTTCCCTTCACTGAAACTAAGGAGCCTAGACCAAACATTTTCCAGCATGAAAATGCACTGTGCACAAATTGAGGTCCTTGAAGACATGGTTTGTCAAGGTTGGAGTGGAAGAACTTGCCGTGGTCTGCACAGAGCCCTGACCTCAACCCCACTGAACACCTTGGGATGGGCACTAGTTTGAGGACTGCATATCAGATCTCCGTGCTGGACATCAGCGCCAGACCTCACTAATGCTCTTGTGGCTGAATGGGCAAGCCTCACAGACATGCTCAAAAATCTAGTGCAAATCTTGCCTAAAAGAGAGGGGGTTATTATAACACCAAAGGAGGACTAAATCTGGAATGGGATGTTCAAAAATCATATATGGTGATGGTCAGGTGTTGCTTTCTGGGTGAATATCCCTAATGAAGCTGGTTGAGAAGATAAACAAGTGCGTAAATCAGGAAGACTATTAAGAATTTAAAATATAATAGGTTTGTTTTGTTTATCACTGTTTCTCACTGCATAACTGCATACATGTTTTCTGACTCATTCTTAAATACTAGGAAATAGTAAAAGTGAAGAAAACTCTTCTATGAGCAGGTGTATCCAAACCTTTGACTAGGCAAACCTTTGACTAGGCAAGCCTAGTTTTGCTGGACTGCCATAGGCTGCATAGCATTTGTCACACAAGTGTCATGGGCATTTAAAAAGTGGCAATGCAGTCATTTATGTAGGGCCTAAAAGATATATCCTTTTAAGAAGTTGTTCCTGAGATATAATTAAGAGTTTTGGGCAATGCCTCTTTCAAAAAACATAATCTGGTACCATTAGATAACTAGCTAGCTAGTTAGCTAAGCACAGAACACGTATTCATGTAAATAAACAACATAACAGTCGAGATATATATGGTATACCATCAAACACATTCAGTACAGTACAGTAAATCTTCACACCCCTTCATTACATATAATTTAATCACTACAATAATATTTCAAGCATGGACACACACCCTTATGAAATACACAACTTTGGCTGACCTACCTTTACTCTCAGCGACTATGAAATTAGATGCAAGTTGACTACTTGCAAACAAACTCAGCAGATACATACAAATCATTCACTTCTTGCTAGCTAATGTAATTTTCATTGAAATGTGATAGATAGATAGATAGATAGATAAGGCAGACCATTTAAATGTAACATGTAAACAGTCAAGATAAATATGGCCAAATCTGTAGCTACAAATGCATTCATGCCACAGTACATCCTCGCACCTCTTCATTTAACATAAATTTTAAGCTCCAATAATATTGGAAGCAAGGACACACCTACATGAAATGACACAGCTTTGGATACCCTACCTCTCTCCAACTATACCAAAATGATGCAGAGGTGGCATAGTTTGCAAATAAACCCAGCAATTGTACATCACAGAATGTCCCTGGTATTACTCACAGCTTACTAGCTAAGAGTAGCTAGATTGAAATTCAGATAGCTAAACTCCTTATACATGGTTGTTTGAACAAAGGGACTCAGTCAGTCAGTTACTCAGTCCCTCAGTGAGTGAAACCACACCCTCATGCTAGTTCACTAGGTCAGGGGCTAAGAGTATTGTCACTAACTTCGCAAGGTTGAAAACAAGTCATATACAACAAGCCACATCTGCATTCTGGATTAGTTGCAACAGTTGGATGCAACAGCCTATTGCAGTAATCCAGTCTCAAAATAATGTAAAGCAAGGGATCCAGACAGTTTGTTGTCCATGGTTACCCCAAGGTTGCACGCAGTGACAGATAACAAGAGATGAGAGTTGTTCAGGGACAAGATCTTGACATGGGGATACGTCTGCGGGGATGCACAGCAGCTCGGTTTTGCTGGGATTAAGTTTCAGCTGATGAGCTACCATCCATGATGTGATGTCTGCCAGACATGCTAAGATCCAAGTAGCATGGCATGGTGTATATTATTTATTTATTTATTTATTTTTAATAGTTTCATTGATGGGTAAAAAAAAACAGTGCTGAGACCAATGTATTACAAGTTTAGCAGGGTAAATAGGATTATGCCATAATGCCATAATAATTGATTAATCAAGCTAAACAATAGTGCCTAAGCATGTATTAATAAAAAATAATGAGCAGACACAAATTTATTACAAAAATGATGCCATGTAACTGTTACTGACAAGCTAATTAACAGTCAAGAGCTAAAATGATGATACCTATTCTAGATGATGTGAACTATGCTGCAGACAAAATGCAGTTTTGGCTTGTGGTCAGTTGTAGGACTTAAATATAAGATGATATCCTAGTCCGCTGCACTCCTATGACCAAGGATGGAAATAGGTGCAGCCGAAGGTTAAATGCATTTTAAATTTATATTAGCTAGCCAGGGGGCATCATCTGGGTGCAGTTTAGGGAGCTGCACCACTCAGCTGTACAACTCACGTTTCAAGTTTATTCTCATGTCCATTCAAACATCTATCTACAATGAATTCCAGTTGCACACTCCTACCCAGACACAGTGAAAAAATGAATCAGGACTGAAACTTTCTTTTAGCACTAACATGAATCCACATCTGAATGGCATACTATTCTGACATTAAACACACCTATGATCATGTCTGCAGAGTTAAGGGCATCTTTTTGGAGCAGGTCAGCACAGCTTTTGGAGGGAATGAGGAGGAGGAGAAGAGGGGTATATACATATGTGTGTTTGACTTCACGC